TTAGTTGTAAAAATAATTCTATTAGCAAAGATCATCATGATTGATGTCTTGATTTCACTTCGGTTTTGAATAATTGGATCTATTTTTAAAATGTATGCATTTATTATAATTTAGAGCATGATTTATATTAAGCTGTTGTCGACTTTATTTTGCAGCATATGAATTCATAATCTCATGATGATGCTTGTAAATATTTTTTATTCAATTATTTGCTGTTATTGCATAATCAGCAAATTAGCAGAACTGCTTTTGCACGTGTGTGTTTGACTATTTAAAACAACTGTATAATTGTTGAAAATAAATATAAATTTCAAAATAACATCCTATGTCCTTTACCCTGTGTATTTGTATTCGAATCTATGTGAAAATCTAACTCAATAATTTACGTATTTCACCACAATATATAGCTGTTCAGTAGTAGATGACCAGACATTTATCTCGCCACAAATTGATTTACGTAGGAATAACTGACAATAAATCTATATTAACCTTTATTCTTAGAACAGAAGGGAAATAGAAGTATAGACATATTCCTTACTACAAATACACAGTCGTAGATATAAATATTTGAAAAAACTAAATCACAAAAGTTTTTGACTGCAAAGTTTTAATTCTAAAAATTATTCTGCATATATTGATATGCTTCACCATCGAAGTTGCATTCAATAAAAATATAATATTTATAAACAAAAGCTATAAAATTATGAATTAGATATATTTTATGTCGATATAAAATATAAATAGATATTATTATTCAACGCAACCAGTTTCAGTTGAATCAATAATGAGAGAAACTTTTGAATACAATATAATAATCTTTTATCATTGTTAAAAACATGCTTAAATTATTCAAAATATTTTCAATCGATTGATATGCAAATTTAAAAAAGAATTTTTGAAATGCAGTATAATATTATCAGTACATAACAAAAAAAATATAATATACGCATTTAACATTTAAACTTTTGATTAGAATAAGACATTCAAATTTATTAAAATTTTCAGATACTTTTTTATTGTGGTCAGGGTCAAAATTTAGCAGGTTTGTTATAATAAAATGGTAAAATAAATATATATTTATAATCAAATTTTAATAACAAACATTTTCAGTAATTGTCTAAGTAATTTTATATGACTTTTATGTTGATCTATTGTGCTTTAATGATTTATGTATCACAAATATACTCTCTAATGATGTCTAAAATTTATTATTTCTAGTATTACAAAGGAATGCACTTGTACGTCTACCTAAACTCCGAAATATATGACCTTTACAATGGGTTGTCAAAATTAACGAAGACCTGATGTAAGATGAATAGATTAAATATGATAGGAGCTAGATGTGAGATCAAGGCGGCTGGATATCAAATTACTAATTGTCATATTATATGTATTATTACGGACTTTATAGCTGAACCTATAATAGTGGGATAAGATTAATAGAAATCTGAAAACTTAGGTAAGAATTCAAATGATTTATCCATTGTTATTTTAGATGCATTAAAATAACTAATTGTATTATTACTTCTATTTAATTTTCGTCTGTTGAATAGCGAATAATTGAAGTTCATTAAACCGGGAAGAACCTTTAGGTTCAAAAAATTAAAATTCACAATTCGATTCCTCAATTTCCGACAGAAGTAAAATTAAGAGAAGTCTATCACAGAAGTCAGTTGCTCACGGATCACAGAAGAATCAAAATAACAAATGACCGCAATCATTCTAATAAATTGTACATTCATAGCATGCACGTCTGAACTCGAGGGATGTAAGTTTTTTATTATTATTTTGAAACGAATTCGCCCCCTTTTCGCCGTCTATCTCAAACAAGAAGCGAAGTACCCTGGTTGAAGTTGTCTTATCTAATATGCAGTGCCATTCATCAGACGCTCTGACCGTAAAAACAAATACTTTGCTAAAAGGATATATTGAAAATGGAATAAAGGTATGTTTACTATCATCACAAAATACTTAACATGTTCAATAACACTCTATATGAATTTACCATTAAGTAAATATTTTATATAGCCCAATCTTCTTTACAATTTTGTTTGATTTTACACCTTTAAGTTTTATTTTACATTTTGATGAATCATAATTTAATTAATTATATTTTAATTTTAGTGTCAATTTAGCATATTCATAATTAATTCAGTATAAAGATAGAATACTGTAGTTTCTGTTGTTACGTCTTAACTTAAATTGTTTTATATGTTAATATAAAAAGAATTTCATAAGTAAGTACTTTCATGTAATGGGATTGATAGATTTTTAGACGCATTTTAAAATAAAAATGTGATTTAATCAATCATTTAGGAAACATTTTAATTACATAAATAAAAATTCTAAATTTAGTAAATTCAAAAAAAAACTTAGTAATAAATAATATAAATATTCAAATTTTGAACATATTTTCTATATAGTTTACAGCTTGATATCCTCAATTTAGCATACAGGCGAATTATAGTAATCAGAATCATATAAAATTATTTGATAAATCATAACTTGGAAGACTGTCTATATTCTAAGCTTTTCAAATTTTAAAATCAATTTTCACAATAAATATGCGATTCAATCAATCACTTAGAAAACAATTTTCAAATTCAGTAAATTGAAAAATAACTCACAATCAGTAAAAGATGATATAACTATCAAAATTTTAGAAATTTATCTCTATAAAATGTATAAGGCAATAAGGTATAGCATTATTGCTTAAATATAACTTGCAAATTGTCTATATTTAAAACTTTTTCACAATTTAAAAGTCATATATAGTTTACAGTTTGATATCCTCAATTTAGCATATAGGCGAATTATAGTAATCAGAATTATATAAAAATTATTTGATAAATCATAACTTGCAATACTATCTATATTTAGCCATTTAAATTTGAAACTCAATTTTCACAATGAATGTGATTGGAATAATTACTTAGAAAACGATTTCAATTATAATTTCAAATTCAGTAAATTAAAAAATAATTCAGTAAAATAAAAAATAATTAAGTAAAAGATAATATAAGTATTCAAATTTTGCACATTTATGTCTATAAAATGCATAAGGCGATAATGTATAGCATTAAAAAAAATGTATGAGAAGTATTTGGTAATACATAACTTGTAAAAATGTCTATATTTTAAGCTTTTCAATTTTAAAAATCAATTTTTACAATGAATATGTGATTCAATCAATCACTTAGAAAACAATTTTAATTATATTTTCAAATTCAGTAAATTGAAAAATAACTCAGTAAAAGATGATATAAGTATTCAAATTTTAAACATGTGTATCTATAAAATGTATAAGGCAATAATGTATAGCATTTAGCTTACTGGCTCATATAAATAAATTAATATTATGTTAGAAATTTTCTTATAAAACTTAAATTTTACTTTATGCGTTCTTAAACCATGTTCGGAGTATATATGAAACAACAGTCCAACGATATTTCGTACACACGGAAGAAAGGTGCAAAAAATACCCTTGCATATATTAACACACAGGTCTTAACAAAAAGGGCCAAAAAGGAGCAGACAACGATCAATCTGCTGATAGCATACAATAGGAATCTATTTGTCTATTTGACATATCAGTCTTACGAGCTCAATATGTCCAAACACATCGAGTTCCGGACTTTTGCTTCGGGTATGCTATACGTTTTTTTACTTCGCTGATGATGATAATGCCTCTCGCTAATAAAGTTGGGTAAATATGCGCGCACGGGTTTTATGTGCCCGTCGCGGCAAAAACGAATGAAAAATTACACCATTAAATGAATATCATATGAGAATTTTTACGTGCAGTTAATGGTCCGTTTTAGACGAAATTGATGGTTGTTTAATTCAGAAACTGGTATGCGTATGTAAAACTTGTTTTTAAACGGTATTAACTTTTAATATACCTATCTATGCTGTTTGCAACGCTCATATTGTAAATGATTTCATATTTGTTTTGGATACAGAAAGAAAGTTCCAATGATTCGACCTCGTAGTCAAATACATGATAAAGAAGTGACTTCTATTTTCAGTTAAGGTAACTTTTTGCACTTCAGTACTCCAATATTTTCATAGTGAAATGGTGAAAATATGGCGACAATGGAGTGCGAAAGGTGACATAAATTGACTCACATTTTTTCATTGATATACACCAATGTTAAATAGATGCGATTTAAAATTTTGTTTAATCTTCTATATATATAAAAATAAGTCAGGTTTTCCTTCCTGACGAAATAACTCCCGAACGCACAAACCGAATTCGATAATTTTGCATTCGTTGGAAAGTCTCGGGCTACGCAAGGTTTATAGCTAAGAAAATTAGTCGTGCATGGCATCGTGCCCTAATGCAAATTGCTGAAACTTTACGCACCGTAATTAAAAATTTAAGTAATAAAAATAATCAATAGTTGTTTTAAATAATTTCAAATAGATTATCTTCTATATAAACAAAAATACGTCGGGTTTTCCTTCCTGACGAAATAACTCCAGAACGCACGAACCGATTTCGACAATTTTGCATTCGATGGAAAGGTCTCGGGCTCCGCAAGGTTTATAGCTAATTAGAAAATTAGTGGTGCATCCTGCCTTAATGCCATTTACTTAGAGAAGCTCCACTAAAAAATACTTCATTTAATGAAATTAATTCATCACTGTTGTGTAATAAAATCAATTTTTTTCATTTCAAATATGAAACAAACAAAGAATTTCTTCATCTTTCTCACGAAACCATCTGGTGGCGAAACGGAGTTCGTCGGGTTTGCTAGTTTTTTATAAAAATTATCAAATACTTTGCGTAACGCGTGAGTAAAATAATAATTCATTTGTAGTAATTTTTTATTCAAATTTAATATTCTGTTCTCTTGAGTAATTATTTTTTTTTTTGTATCTAGATGTGGTAAGTAAAATATGCTACCCTAAATGTTATCATATAATCAAAACAACCGTCCTACCACATAATTCTATAAATTTATAAATCTTATCAATAATTAACAAAATCTTCCTACCTTCACAAGTAAATTGTCCATAATGTTTCCCCGAACTTTTGTCTCCGCATACGACGCACTCAATATTTTGCGTCTTATCTTGACCGCCTGCTCCATTAGCCGAACCTCCACTTTGGGAGCTATTCGCCTGCGATCCGGGCGTTGAGCTTTGCTGAAGCTCCCGTGGTATACCTCCGGGTCCGGTAACTACACCACCCGGACCGCCGAGAGTGGTGACGTCTTCGCCTCCAGAAGATGGGGTAACGTGACCACCCAAGGGACCCCCTAAAAATATTTAAAAAAGTCATTTAATTATTGTAGTTATTTATTATAAGTATTTGTATAGAAGATGGTAACTTAAATGACAATTTTAGTAAGAATATTAACGTAAGATGAGGTTACATGACAACCCAAAGAACCTGGAAGAATATTACAAAAAATGTAATATATTTTTCATATTCATTTTTTTTTATTCGTATTTGTATATATACTTAATGAAAAATATTACAAAAATGTAACATAATTCTAACAGTTATTTATTTCATTATACGTATTTGTATAGTAGATGGTAACTTAAATGACAATTTTAGCAAGAATACTAATGTTAATCTAAATGGTTAGCAATGAATACTGATTTAAAAAACCAATTTAATAGTTTACTTTGTGAATGTTTAGATCACAAATAGATACAATTTTAGCAATTATAGTTTAAATGTATTTTGAAAGAAATTTAGACCTGTTGTTTATCAGTATTTAGTGTTAGAGACCAGTACCAAATTAATTGTGAAAATTCGAATTACTTTATCATTTATAAAATAAAACAATTCCTTTAAATGTAATTTCAATAATTATATAGCATTTAAATCTTTTCACTTCTTTCTAACTACGTTCGACTACAATTGGTTGAAGTTAATAACATTTTAATTAAATATATCTTGGAATTTATCTTGGATAATATAAAAAGCATATGTTTAGAATGAATCAAATCGTTTTATTGTATATAATTACACTTACTACACAAAAAGCACTCAAGTCATTAGCAAAATTATTTTTATACATAAGAAGGTTAATTAATAGACAAAAAAACTCTATGAAGACATCAAAGTCGCTTTAAATGATTACATTTCAAAGTAAACGTTGAGTGTGTTTTTATCAATAAGGTTGTAGTCGTACAAAGAAATGAAGGTGAGAATATTTTTATTATTGACGTTTGAATTATGATTTGACTAACACATAGTGAAAGCATTGAAAGATACTTTTGCCGCATCATGGGATTATTGTTTCATTTTGTAAGATGTGTAGGAATTTATCGAAACATTTTGATATCACATGATGACCTCCACAAGTACGGAAAATTTTGGACAGTAATTGAAAATAATGAGTTATTTGAAAATAGTAATCATGACATGACTTTTTTCAAGCACCTAAAGATATAAATGTAAAAGTAACCAAAAATAAATAAATGTATATATTAGCCTTTATTAATGTTCAATAATCATGCTGAAATTATTTTATACATAGTAAATTACTAATTCCAATAATTTATATTCGATTGATTTCAAAATTTTTTAAATCAGTGTTTCAGTAATAAATTAACAACATTAACTATATTGCAATACGTTTACGTGCAACAATAATTAAATTAATTATCTCGAATTTATGCCACACAAAACGAGAGTCATAATTGCTAAAAATTAACTTTTTTGTGGTTAACTTCTAAAGTAATTAAAATAATAATGAATAACAATTATAGCATTCGAGTGAAAATATAAGGAATTTTATTTAAGAACGTATATTCTTTAAGATTAAATATAAATATGGTTTGGAAAATATTAATTACATGTTAAAATATTAAATATTTGACAATAACTGTTAATGTAAAATTTACTATTTTCTCATAATTTATTAATAGTCAGTTTTGCTCATTGTACTTACGAATATAAATTCTATAAACTGAATTTGATTGTAGATGTTAGATGGAAATATATAATCATTTTGCAACAACATTGAAGTAGATGTCCACAATACAATTTAAAGATGGAATATAATTTCTGATAAGAGTGATGGAATAATAGAGTTTTTTCAATTTATACAGAATTTTTAAGAAAATGGAAGGATAGTTTTTAATGTATATTTTCGATTTAACTTCGAAATAATTTTAGTGTTGAGTTAGAATTATCTCACCGTGTAAAGTAGAGGGATCGCGCCAAGCGCTGGGCGGTGGGCCGACGGAGAATCCCATTTCGAGTTTCCGCGGGAAGCCCATTTCGAGTCCCGGCGGATTGACTAGATCACCGCCTGGGACCCCGCCGCCCGTCGCTTGGTGATGATGATGGTGACTTCCAGGCGGCGGACCTGCTCCGGGCACGGAGCCCGGGTGTCCTTGCATGCCGCCGGCTGAGCCGACACCGCCGCCACCGACAGGACCTCCAACCGTCCGCTGCCCAAAGAAACCGCCGGCCGACGGCGAAGGACATAGCACGCCTCCGCCGTAAACGGCCAGCGAGTTATGCGTAATAATATTGCCGGTGTATGGCGGACCCGGACTAGGGGTCCACCCCGCGCTCGGTTCGCCTGGCTGGCAAACCTGAATGGGGGCGGGCGAACCGCTCGGAATTGCGCGAATTTTGGCCGGTTAAACCGGCGAACTTCAACAAGAAAAAACTCACAGACTTACGTATCACAAAAAAAATATTTGTGAGTACTTTTCAGTTCATGCAAGAGTTTTTTAATTTGAGGAGATTTTAGATGTCATTCGTAATCTCAAAAAATTGCTCGTGTCGGTGTGATTTATAATTTAGGATAAAACACGCATGTCCACATATTTACACTAAGTTTAATATTAACAATCACGCACATTTGACGACACTGACACTATAATTAATTTATATAATGAGTTTTGAAAATAAAACACTTTTACATAAAAGAATTTAGATAAAGCACATTGAGATCATGTACGACATTAAAAATAGATTTTTCTCTAAATGTTAAGTATATTGCTGTTTTTTTATCACAATTATCCGTATTGGCACAGATTAAATTAATCAGTCACTTCAATTCGGAACTACTTGCTGCAAAATGATTATGCAAAAAATTCCGAAGTCGAAAACAAAAAATAAAAACACAACAATAATTCTGTTATACACGGCAAAGAGTCACTTCGCGCACGTGATATGCACATACTCTTCGTATCGGTATCTCCCTTGAGTTCAATGGTTCAAAACCAACTGACTTTACTTCAGTTAGATAGGTCTCGAACCCGAACCTGACCCGACTCCGATCTCTCACCAGAAACCCGAATACCCCCGACGACCTACGAATGACCTGCACGGCGACGGGCAATCTGCGTCCGTCGCAGTCGCCCTAACGCGAGGCCCGTATCTGCGTCCTGCTTTCACGCGCGGATAGAGTCCCGTAACCCGGCAGTGCCCCACCAAGGCACCGCCAGAGAGCTTTTTATGAGAGTGTTGGTGAGAAAAAGGTTGTGCCTCCGCTGAGTGGGTATACTACATTCCAAATTCAGAATTCACGTCGAAAAGTAATGATTAACTTATGGAGCTACAATTAATTTAATAATACAGAAAATTTATGGACCAACCGATTTAAATTCTTTTAGGGTAATAATAGGTTGTCAAATATCTCCCTTCCGCCTTTTTGTATTATAAACCAAGAGCAAAAAAGCGGAAGGGAGATATTTGACAACCTAATATTTTATAGGAAATCCATATTAGATTTAAATATTTTATAGGAAATCAATATTAGATTCTGTTGAGATGTTTTATAGAAATAAATATTTTATAGGAAATTAATATTAGATTCTGTTGAGATGTTTTATAGAAATAAATATTTTATAGGAAATCAATATTAGATTCTGTTGAGATGTTTGTACATATCTTTTAAGCAAAATAAATTATAGCAAAAGATATTATAACACAGATCCAATAGATTTGAGTGTAGAAAAATCTTTAATATTAAAGACTAAACTTGTTTTTAAAATACTATCAAAAATTACTCGTATAAAGTAATAATTTTAATTTTTATATCCTATATAGAATAAATAATATAATAATGTCATGTAACTTTTGTTGCGCTTTCATATTATATTTTCAGCGTAGGAGTATTTTTTTATATCATATTTATTTCAGTATACGAGTAATTTTATTGACTATATTATTTAATTCAAGATTGTTATTATATGAGTATTGATATTTGATGTAAAGATACCTACTATTTTCTTTAATAAAAAAGTTCTGATATGATACAATCGTCAATAAATAGTTTAACTAATATGTAAGCTTCTAGTAGTAATGAATAAATTTTTGCAACTGAAAGCGGTAACATTTATGTGGTTATGTGGTTTCAAAATAATAGAAATACAAAACTTTTTGTCAGATAACTAGTCCAATTATTTTATTATATTGGAGTTGAATTTTCTAGTTATTTTATAACTAAATGATGAATTTTATTCTGACAATTTCTGCAATAGTAGAGTTTTTTTTAATAGAGCAATGCCGGCAAAGGGCTATTTTCACTTACAATATTGCAGATTTTACAGTTACAGATTTCAAAGTGAAAACCGATATCACTGCTGCTTGACATCAGGTATTCAAGGCTGGGAATCAAAACTATGATGTCAGGTTTTTAGCTCCAACTACTGGATCACGGGAAATCTAAATTTTATTATAACAATTTATGAAATAGTAATGATTTTTTTATTAATAGAGCAATACCGGCAAAGGACTATTTATACTTAAAATATTGTATACATATCAAAGCGAAAACCGATATCACTGCTGCTTGACATAAGGTAGTCAGAGATGGGAATCAAAATTATCATGTCAAGTTCTTAGCTCTAACTATTGGACCACGAAAAATCCCAATTTCTAGTGCCCTAGTAATTATTTTTCACAAAATACCTGTAAACATAGTAATACGTTGTTCCGTAACTATCATTAAATAAACATTCTGATGTGGAAAGTAGTATAGCCGACTCACTAAACATTAAGCCATGCCCCCAAAAGTGTAAAGTATCAAAGTTAACGCGCTGTGATTGGTTGTGGCGGGTGCAAAAGGCGACTGCTTGGTGCTTGCTCTTTCGCTTGGGCTTACATGTAAACATAACCTACGGTTAGTATAGTGACTGTTAGTTAGCGATTCACACTCACTAAGAACGGACATATGTAAAGATACACGAATACTGCGATAAAAATTCTATATCGGCCGACTATATGTATTATATTATATGACATTATAATGCTGCAATCAATTCGCCAGACATAAATAATCACATCATTCAGATTAGCATTGATAGCCAAAGCTGTATTTAATTAAAGCGAAATCGATGTTTGCTATTGTGAGTATTGTGACTAGGTGTTGGAATACAGCCCGTATCACAATTGTACTTTTATTGAAGTCTCAGTATAAAATATTTGTTTGCGCTTTTGCGCTTAATATTACTATTAGAAAACTATTGAGATGAATATGTACTCAATAAGCTAACTATTAATTTGATTCTTTTCTTTTTTACATGGCGTTTTAGTAGTATTTTTAATTAAACAATAACCTTAGAGCATCACCAAGCAGTAGGTACTCTATTAGTACATGACTGGAATTTCACCATTTTTAAATAAATTTTATGTTTAACTTTGATAAATAAACTAAAGAAATGAATCGGTACACATAATGTTATAAGTAACTATATATATAGGATTCCTTCCTTGATTCACTAGATTTTTTATTCAATATTGACCATAGACTTTTTGAGCATCATTAATCAGTAGGTGCTTTATCAGAGGGGTAATTTCACCACATATAAATAAAATTTGTATATATTTAATAAATAAATAAAGGCAATAAATCGGTATATATTATGCATGAGTAACTATATAATTCTTTACTTGATTTACTAGATTTTTTATTCAACAATGAACCTGAAGTATTTCTATTAGTACATCATGGCTAAAATTTCACTAGTTGAAAATAAATTTTACGTGTATATTCAATAACTAAAATTAGATTACAGATTGAATTAATGGATTATGATTCTAAACTTGGTGTATTATAAAAATAGCATATAATAATAAAGACCTGATAATTTACTTTTGTCTAACAAGCTCTGCTTTATATTAGATTAGAATATGTGCAGAAATTACCAAGGACAAAGTTCAAGAAGCAACGCAATTTAATATTTGCATCTAATGAGATTAAAGAGGGTCAGCTGGTATTACTTTCTAATTATCTGCATTATTACGTTATGAACACTGTGGCGGTGCACTTTCATAGTAAATAGGTCAAACGCGTTAAAAAACATGACAAATATATTGAATAAAAAAAGCAAAATACTCATTACACTATATATAAATTTATTGGCAGCATATTATACTCTTAAACTTAATCTTAAAAGCTATTAATTTTTCTTTCTTTTAAAATGTATACTGTTCTTTAGCATCATTATTTTAATTGTTCAAAAGTTTTGCGAATATTTTGATAAATAACATAAAAGATTAATGCGGGACATTTAAATATTAAATTACCTTTAGTATAAAATTAATAATCTTTACCCATTATTACATCAATTTGTCAATTTCAGCAAATCCACAAATTTTATTTCAGACCCGAGTTCAATATAATTACCACAATATCTTCAACGGTCATTAACATTCGGTTTGCAATAACCACCTCTCGTGCCACAACAAAGAAACCAACAGAAATACAAAAAATACAAAATGCACAGACATTAGAACATTACCCGCTTCATTATTCTTCCATCTAAGTCTTATTTCGTATCCCTTTTTTAAATTAATATATTGATGTTGTTTTTCATCCACCCATAGTGCGGATATATATGTAACATAACATTGTGCGTCTCGTAATTACAAGAAATTAAATGTTAAATTACTAACAGGAATAATTAATGACCGAAGAGACCGATTCATCAATTTCATATTCGTTTATTTGTAAGCGAGCCAAAGCCAAACGGGTAACTTTGACCCAGAGATTTTAAACATATAAAAAATATCAGGTGTTCAAAAATCAAATTCATAACGAATACTTTAAATTTATTAGTTTTATTTGTTTTATTTATTTTATTGTTATTAGTTTATAGAATTTTTTATATTAGTTTATGTTCAAAACTGTACAACTTTTTATACTTTTAGCGAGCCAGGGTGCGGCTTAGAGAATCAATTTGAAAACAAATTTTGATAACATAATTTTTTATTACATATAATAATATTATTGCTTCTAATATAAAATATAAACTAATGC